GGATGGAAGGGCGGAGCGTCCGCCCTGGGCCGTTTTCCTGCCGGCGAAGTGGGGCTCGATGGGGCAGAAGGTGCACCCGCGGCTTGTGGAAAGCATCCCAGGTTGCTCGGCCCACCTGGAGGGGCAGAAGGAGGGGGGGGATCCGCGCGCAGAACGACGGCCTGGCCCGCAGTGGGGTCAGCCACCGAGGCCGCGCCGGGGGGACCGCTCCGCGCGGCGATCGCCGCCCGGACCCAGCCCTCCGCCTCCCGCCGAAAATACCCCGTCAAGCGGGCCATGAGCCTGGGCTTCGGGTCGTTGTTGTTCCCAGGCAAACTGACGTCGTGGCAGCGCGCAATAAGCCAGGCCTTGGGCTGCCCATCGAGGAAAGGCAGCCAACGCCCAAGAAGGGCATCCATCTCGGCCTTGGCGGCGGCAGAAAGGGGCGGGCTGTCCAAGGGGAAGGGGGGAGCTGGCGCCGCGAACGGCGAGTACGGAAGCCCCCCCTCCCCAGCCCACGCCACGGTTTCAGAGGCCTCAGGGTCCATGGAGAAACGGCGTAGGCGCAGAGGGCCCCGGGGCCCAGAGGGAGCAGGGAGGTCACGCAGTGTGTGTGTGTGTGTATGTGTCAATCAATCAATCAATCAAGCTTCCTTAAAATGACGCTTCAACAACAAAGGTCACGGCGCCTTTCGATCAGGAAATTCAATTGTTCGGTAATCAGCCCCACGAGCGTCCCTTCTAACCCGACCGCAATAACCTCAGATATCCAATTTGAATCCCTAAGTGAATCCACAACTTTCTCGTTCAGTAACATGGAAGTACTCCGACCAAGCCGAGAATCGATGGGTCTAGAGGAGGAGAAACTGAGGGAACTAACTAGGCTGGATTCTAGCGGCCCCCCCATACCCGGACGATGTCATTTCCTGTGCCCATGTCCTTACTAGAGCAAAGTCCAAGATCATCTAGTGCACTCATATGATTTCCATTCTTTGGCCAAGCTGGCACCCACGGGGCATCTCATATGTTCTTGGCCTAAATTTGGCCTTAACGACATAGGACCCCAAAAAGAAAAAAAAAAACCACATGACAGAAAATGATAAGGATGCAGAGCATGCACAAAGGTCATGCTCTTGGTTGCCACGCCTCCCATCAGAACGAAAAAGTGTAAACAAAGAAGTTGTGTGCTATCTTGACGTTCTCAAACTAGAGAATGTTTTGTCAAAGGAGACGGTTGAAATAGACCAATCATGGTCAAAAAACACACACCAACAACATTGTCACACTCTCACAAGGACCGCCATGCTTCCCATTCTCAGCATTTCTATTGGCATTTTAGGCTTTCTTTAAAGGGAGTGGATGGTTACCCTCCAGCTTGGGACCCTCCATCTCACGGGTATCCTTTCCTAGTTGCATCGCCGTCATCAGTTGCCTTCACACGTTTAGCCCATCATCAAGGCGATCCGCAAGATGATGGCTTTCCGCGCCTCCCGTGTGAGACCCCCTCGTGGTAGCTCCGCCCGCCTTGGCTTCTTGGCTTGCGTCTTGGCACCCCGTAGCCTCGACGTTGGCCTCCCAAAACGGCTAGGATCGGGTTAACAAGGGCCACCCCTTGTGCGGGATCGCAGGCACAAGGGACCCCGCCTTCAAGTCCGCCCTCCACGCCAATCGATCTGCGAGAGAAGGTTGGCACGCAGCGCCAAGAGGCCACCTTGGAAAGCTTCTCTCCCTAGCTCTGCCAGCTCGTTTTCGACCATAGAAACAAAGGCCACGCGTTGTCCACACGCGCCGTCGCGGAGGCACCCAGAATGGCCATCGGCAGATCTTGAATCGACGCAAAAATTCTCACGATGTTCACCGGCCAGCTCTTCGATCTTCAGCAGCACACACGAAGCGGCGGCAGGGCGCCTCGGCCCCGCCCTCCCGAACGACGCGCGCGCCTCTCGTTGGGAAGATTCCGCGCCGAAACCGCCACCTCCGGCGCAATCTGGGCCTCCTCGCAGCCAGCGCGGGTAGCGCGCGCGCAGCCGATGCATACTCCGCCAGAATGGTACTCGCCTGGTACCCAGGCACTGGTCTGGCACTTAGACTCTGAGCGCACGCCCAGCGGACCGGGCGCCGCGGAAAATTCGGAGAGTTGGCCGCCGCCCCGCACCCCCGAGGGGGGGGCGGAGGCGGCGACGAGCGGGAAAAGAATGTGTGTGTGTGTGTGTGTGTGTGTGTGTGTGTGTGTGTGTGTGTGTGTGTGTGTGTGTGTGTGTAATTCCATGATTACATGCAGAACAAAGCAATGTTGCTGCCAAAGCCCTTGCACCAGAGGTATGTAGGCACTAGAGTCCACAGCAGAAATCAAAACCGAACAGCAGTGTCCCAAGAGAGCTAGCAAAACGAAAGGAAAGCATGGAATGTCCCAGAAAAACCACAGAGTGTGCCCAAGGTAAAAGCGCAGGGGGTGCTCAAGAAACCCCAGTCAGACAGCGAAGCAAAAAGTAAACCACAAGAAGCAGACACACGCCACAATAGAAAGGAAACACAGAAACAAAACCCAGAAGGTCACCAGAACCCAGAATGCCACCAGAACCAGAAGCAACAAACCCCAGCAAAACATGTTCCAGAAGCTAATAGCCAAAAGGCTAAGGGACTAGGGCCGCAGTAGGAACAAATTCCACCCACGACCCCTCCAAAAACGCAAAAAGCCGATAGCCCCGGCGCCAAATGGCGCGCACATTATCCCCAAGGAACCTGTCATACGCCCCTCTCAACTGCCGCTTCCACTCAAGCTGGGCAGCTGAGAGGTCGTGGTACAGGCGCAGGCCCTGCAATTCCCGCGGGCAATCAGCTGAGTATAATCGGCCCTTCGATTTAAGCAATTCCACCTTGTCCCCCAATCGATGAAACCTCAAAATGACCGGCCGCGGCCGATCCGCCGCGAAGCGGCCCACCCGCCAGGCATCCGCCACGTGCCCCCGCCGTCCGACCAGGCCCGCCACGACGAGGTCCACCGCCTGCGCCAGCGAGCTGGAGGTCTCGGTGGGCGAGTCAGGCAGGCCGCGAAGGCAGACCTGCCGGCGCCGGATCTCCGCCTGGAGGTCCAGCACCTCATCGAGGCGGGCGGGGCGAATGGAGGCAGCAGCATGGGAGCGCCGGCGAGCTTCGGCCGGGTCCGGTAAGGGCGGCGCGCAACGGCCACGGGGGGCGGGCATCGAGGAAGACGGCCGCGGGGGGGCTTGGGCGGAAGGGGAAGGGCCGGGCAGCTGGTCGCCCGGGGAAAAAGGCGGAGCATCCGCGCGGGGCCTCTTGCCAGGAGGCGATGACGGGCTTGGGGAGCGCCGAGAGCCGGCGGAGCCATGGGCTGCGTCAAAGTCCGAAGCGCCCGAAGCATGGGGCGCGATCAGGCGGCCAGAACAGAGGGCCGTGGCCAGGCGACCGCGGCGCGCAGGATCCCCGCGGGAATCAAGCGGCGCAGGCGCCAGAACCGGCGGGCGCCGCAAAGGCGCGGAACCCGCCGCGGCCGCCGCCCCAAGGGCGGACAGATGGGCCTCCAAGCGCGCCAGCAGCTGCGGCTTGGTGTCATTGCGATTGGCAGGGAGTCCTGCGACGTGGCACTCCTCGATCAAGGTAGCCTTGGTCGCGCCTCGCAGGTCAGCCAGCGCGGTAGCCACCATGGCATGGATGCGGTCCGCGTGGGCCGAAGCCGACGTAATTGCACCCCCCGATGCCTCCGCAACGGGTGCCGCAGCGACCACCAAGGCTTGGGCATCGGCAGGACACGCAGGCTGGGCCGAAGGGGCATCAGAATCCATGGCAACGCAGTAAAAGGGCAGCGGGCCCGGGGGCCCAAAACGAGCAGGAAACGGTCGGCGAGAAAGTGTGTGTGTGTGTGTGTGTGTGTGGAAAGCTGCCTCACATACCTGTCAAACCATCCAAAAGATGAACACTGCACAGGTTTTTACATTTCTCGTAAAAGTCCCATGTTCTTCGCATTTCCCAAACTGCTTGTACCCCTTTTGTTCAGGTCTGTCCCCTGTTGAGTGTTGTGGTCCTGTCATCACCCTGAGTGTTTTGTGTCTTCTGTGTCTCTGCCAAGGTTTTTTTGATCCATCAATGTCCCTTTGTTATCCCACCAGCGTGCGGCTTCCTCCGCACGAGACCCACCAAAAGCCCAAAAGACCATCGGTTCTTCAGCTCCATTAGGGTGGGGTTTACCATGTTTTCCACAACGATCCGAACAGCCTGTTTGACGCCTGAACGGCACATGCCCCCCGCTCCTCCGCAGCCACCGCATCCTCAATCTCCACAGCTGTCCGGCCGTCAGGGTGTGGCACAAAAGAATTTTATGTACATCGTAGCGAGGGGCAAACGAAGAAAGCGGGGCCTCTCCCTTCAAAAACTTTGTGACATTTTGCCCAAGCCTACTCGCCCCTTGTGTGGCGTCGATACCTAACAATTGCCCTGTCCCAAGTTTCGACATCTCTTCGCGAATCTCGATCACAGCATCGGATTTGCTGGACCGAGAGTCTTCTAGGGTAGCGAGAAGACGACCTTCACGATGAAACATCGTTTCCAGCCTCTTCAGGGCGCAGGTGTTTTGCATCATGGATGTGTCTACACCAGCGCTGTCTCTGCCTTCTATTGCTGACGCAACCATCGTGCTTCCTGTGCCGTTGCAAATGGACAGCACGTTCCCGCCATTTGGGGTGAGCAGCCTGACAATCACTCTTGCCTCGTCAATGGGCTTTTGAGTTTTATTCACGGCGACGCGGTTGTCTCCCAACAGCGTGGCGTCAAGCTCTGGCCTGCCATACCTGCTCTCCGCCAGTGGTTTTGGGAATGAGAAAATGAATTTCCCTCCAAGGAAACCACTAGGGAACTGCCTGGCACCGTTATTAAACTTCACAACAAGCAGCGGCTGGCAGTGGCCGGGTGTCCGCGTTCCCGGCGTGAGGTGGGCGGGGCCCTCTTTTGTGAAGATCCAAGTGAACTGGCCACCCCAGGAAACTCCAGTACTTTCTTCCGCCCACCTCTGTAATTCTTCCACCATCCTCCCGATGTCCTCCATCTTCAAGTAGATGGCCACGGACCACGCTTGAGTCTCTTCTGGCAGCAGGCCGGCGTCCTTCAGAGCGTTCAACACCCCACGCATCTCGGAGGAGGTCCAGGCACGGTCGTCCCAAGGATCATCAGCTTGTGAGTGTTTCCCAAGACCAAACGGGGGGTCCACGACAACACACTCTAGGCGCCAGCGCGTCAATCTCTCCCTGATCGGAGCATATGTTTCCGCCCTCGTGGCATTTCCATGAAGAATGAGTGTAGACACTTCCTTGGCTTTCTGGGATATTGTTGGTCCTGAATCGTCTCCAAAATCAACGCCCAGCCTTGGCGTCACGAACCTTGCCAACTCCATTGGCCCCCAGGGGACGAAAGCAGAGCGAGCGTGCCCGCAGTCTTTTGGGCTGCAGTCCTCCACCCACTCCACCAAATCCTGAAGCTCTGTGTCACTGCGGCACTTGGTCCACCGGTCGCCACGGTCCTTGAAGGCTTTCCAGTTTTCGAAACCTCCCTCCTGTGGCGGCTCAACTACAGTAGAGGCCTCCCGTTTGTTCTGGTTCCCGTCGTGACCCTTGTCCTGTCCTTCGCCCGAAACGCGCAGCTCCGCCACTTTGTCAGTCAATTGGGCAGATTCCTCTTCTTCGCTACCCAACTCCATTGGATCATCTTGCCCTTCCATCGCAGCATCGCCTTCGATGTCACTTAGCGGATGTTGTCTTTGCCTTGCTTCCAGTGCTTGGGACTTCAAGAAGTCAAAAACATCCCATTTCCACCCCAGTGTCCTGAAGGAAGCAAAGTCTTTCACGGTCCTCAACACCACGTTGCGGGGAAGGCCAACTCTCTTTATCAAGAAGTCCAACCACTTCTTGGCGGGGGTGTCCTTCAGCTGAACGAAATCCTCCACATTGTCGTTGGCGATGTTGTCAGACTGGGTAAAGATGGCAGCAAACAGCAGGTGGTCAGCAAGCGACACATCTCATTGTCCGCATCCGCTATTCAAGGGGGTGGCCTACCACGCAATTGGCATTGCAGAAGTTCTTACTACAACTGCAAGACATTGCCAAATGTGTTACCTGCGCAAAGCAACCCAGAAGCGGTCACGGGTCGTGATGCTTGTAGCACATTTCTCTCAATAGTAGAAAATTGTAGCAAAGGGGAACAGCGCCACTGTCAGGGCGCTGACCCCCGCTTTGCTATGCCGCCGGCATACCACAGGACAACACAAAGCTGCCAGACAACCCACATTTCTCCCACTCGTAGAAAATTGTAGCAAAGGGGAACAGCGCCACTGTCAGGGCGCTGACCCCCGCTTTGCTATGCCGCCGGCATACCACAGGACAACACAAAGCTGCCAGACAACCCACATTTCTCCCACTCGTAGAAAATTGTAGCAAAGGGGAACAGCGCCACTGTCAGGGCGCTGACCCCCGCTTTGCTATGCCGCCGGCATAGCACGGGCACAACACAAGGCTGCCAGACTACACACTTTTCTCCAACTCGTAATTCAGTGGAACCAAGGGGGAGCGGCGCCTACAACACAACTCTCACCCCCGGCTTTGCTATGCCGCCGGCATAGCACAGGACAACACAAAGCTGCCAGACAATCCACATTTCTCTCAATAGTAGAAAATTGTAGCAAAGGGGAACAGCGCCACTGTCACGGCGCTGAACACAAGCTATGCTATGCCGCCGGCATAGCACGGGCACAGCGCAAAACTGCCAGACAACCCAAAAACTCAATGTCGTAGACCAGCTGTGCTGCAATGGCAGGTTTCCTCACTTACCGTGCAGATGGTGTAGCCTAGGAGAAACAGCGGCCCCATCACAGCACTCTCGAGGTAGTTCACCAACTGGGCCTCGGAGAACAGCAGGTATGGCTGCCTTGCCAGCCACGCTTTTGCGACGTCTAAGAATGGCGATACGAAAAGCCGTTCGCTGTCGGTTTTTCCGTGTAGCCCGCTGCCGGCGCCTGTCAGGACCAGGTTGCCCCTCGGGACCATCCGCTTCACAACAATCGCTGTGTTCCAATACGTCTCCGTAGTGGTGTCAAATTGCAGCTGATGTTCACGAACTGACCTCTCTTGAGGACTGCGAAGCTCTTTGTATGCGTCAATCAACTTCACAAACGTGGCCACTGCAACGCCTCTGCTTACTGTCCTTTTCTCATTGAGCGCCTTGCTGGGGACTGCAAACTGTTGCAGCCAAGACTTGTTGCTCACATCACGGGCAATCAGCTTCTTGTAGAAATCTTCGGCATCCACATCCTCCTCAAAGAAATCCTGCACCTGGTCCTTGATGCGGGTGTCAGGAGTGGGTTCTTTGCTGGAGGGAACGAGGCCCTGACAGAAGACCCTGAACGACCCGTTCGCGAATGCTTTCCTAGAGTCCTGGCAGCTCCAGTCCCACCCTGTGATGTATTGCGCGCGGCGATCCCAGTCCACGTGCTTCTCTTTTGGCAGCAGCTGCGTCAGCCATTTCTCCTGTCCACCATTGGCGCAGGCCCAACACAACCTGAGCATGGCTGATTGGCGCATGCCAAGTCACCAAGGTGAGCGTCCCTTTGCCCAGACCAGGACCTCCGCAGTGCCGTCCAGCATGGCAATATTGAGGTCTGCTTGAAAGTAACGGACAGTCCCCAAATCTCGTTCCGCCTCGGACAAAGACTTCTTCTTGGAGTCTTGCAACTGTGCAGTGGACAGCGCGAGGACACCAGTCAACAAGCAGCAATACAACGACAAAACAAAATAACATCAAATGCAAATAGTGCCAGTGTGCAAAATTGCTAACCTTGCGAATCCTCTGAGTGTTGCTGGGGTCCTCTCACCGCGCTGCACTAATTTTCCTGTCCCATTTTTCTTCGCGCTTTTTTTTCTCTTGCTCGTAATCTTCCTTCCCACCATCGCCGACTGGCCTCTCCAGAATGGCCTCCAGAAAAGAATGGAACTCCAAGTACTGTGCGTTCTCCGCCTTCTTCCTGGACCTCTCCGGGCGCCCGTGTAGGAGCCAGTAGTTGCGTATGAACGGGATTACGTTGAGAGGTTCCGTGTGGCCCTTGTACGCCGTAGTAATAGCCGCCCGTTGCACAGCAAGGTTTTCTGTCTTGCTCATGAACCTGAAGTCCTCCTGCGTCAATTGATTTTTAAAGAATACGTAGGTTCGGCGAAGTAGAGGTGTGGCTCGTTCCTGCTCCCATCGCACAACATGTGCGGCCGACGAGTGGTTGCCAACGAGGGTGAAGAAAGGGGGCTTGGCCTGTCGCTCGTCCACCTTCTCCACGGCTGCAATTAACAGGCTCAGATCTCCACGCTTCCAGCGCGTTCTTACCGTTTTGAGAAGGTCCTCCTCCTCTGGGTCAAAGATCACCACCGCAGGTGTCAAGGCGTTGAGGTCAAAGTTCTCTACAAGAGCGTCGACACGTTCTTGAACGTTCACGCGCTGGAGCAACTTCGTTTCAAGCTCCGGTCTTCTGTTGTAGCACCTAGGGTTGCCTGCCTCAGTGTACAAGGCGGCCTTGCCCAGGAGCTTTGCGTACGCCAGTTTGCGAACTGTGTCTTCACAGCTGGCGGTGACTCGAGAGGCGTAGAACTGTTGAACGAACGTTGCCACCTCGTCGTACACCAGCCTGCGTCGCCCGTCGCTGTTGTCCGGAGGCACATATTCACTGAATTCACTCACGTCGTGAACAACAAGTTGCTTGGCTTCCGCCGCCCTAAAGCTGTAACCCACGATGGCGTCAACCTCTTCCTCCTCAAAGTCCTCCAAGCTCTAAGCAGTTGGGTTGGGCTCTCCTGCCTCCACTGCGGCGCCAATCCATTCACCGACGAAATCTGACAACTGCTGTGTGGACAGTTCGAGGGACTTGCTTGCTGACTCCGGCCTGCCTTCGCCCTGGCCTTCCTTGCGATGTACTTGTTCAGCAACAACATTTGTAGTTGTGGCCTCCCTCCTCGATCGCTTTCGTTGTCACGCCGTAGACACTGTGGAAACGTGCAGAGCGGGGCGAGTCTGAAAGAAATGCCAAAGTTTTTGTGATGTGAGCACTCAAATTTGATCACAGTTGCACTGGCCAAGAGACACTGAGGGTAAGGAGTTGCAGAATAGAAAAAAGGCAACCGCAACACGACTAGTGCTGAACTCCAATAAAAACTCAGCGCATCGTTTGCATTGGAACCCTGAAAGATTGCTACTCACTGCAGTTTTAGACGACTTCAGCTTCTTCTTCGCAGGACTCCTGCCTGTGGAAACGTCCTTGGTCGTGTTCTCATCTGTAGAGCCACTGGGCTGTACGACTTCCACACGACCCTCGCCTCCTTCTTTTTCTTCCTCTTCTTCTTGATCCTCTTGTTCACCACTGTTGCTATCTTTGGCGTCCGGCATTTCCTCATCCTCAATGTCGTCTTGGCCTTCAGGCACTGTTTCCGGAAACCTCTTTGCCAGCTCGGCCCACAAATCCTTCCTACTTTCGTCAGCCTTTTTACGCTTGTAGTCAGAAATTTCCTCAAGCGTCCGTGTTGCAAGGTAACGGTACTCATCTCTTTTCTCCTTCCCTTTGTGTCGAAGGTGCTGCTTCAGGTGTTCAACAACACAGCTCTTGGAGCAAAGCAACTCCAGGGAAATGCTCCCAGCAAGAAGATGGAGACGTTGATGGATTCCATGGAGTACAGCTTCTGAACACTGATGGTGAACCAACTTGCTGCAGCCCCTCCGCTTGCACTCCTCTTTGTTGTACTTTGCACCGGGTTCAAGACACTTCTCCGCCTGGGCAGCCCGATGCTCTCCATGGCTTTGGTGCTTGTCAGTAGCAACTCTGCAACACAACAATTGTCAGAGGGTTGTTGATGAGAATGTTACAAAGCTTGCCACTCAAAAGCAAACCGTCAACATGGAGTGGGAAATTGGAAGAGGTCTTGGAGGACGAGTGGCAAGTTGGGCTTGCAGTGGATTGATCTTAGGTGGAACAGGCAACAAAAAGGCCACAAGTGCAACAAGGACAAAATGTGGAAAAGCCAAGGGAGTTCCGTCCACCAGGACACGATGTGCTAACATGAAAATCACATTCCACAACTCAGTAACTGAAGAGCAAAAGAAAGCCGTTGGCTAATTTCGTTTGGAGTCCATTCCTCCTGTGCAGCAAGAAATGCCAATAGTGGGCAACTTGGCTTCAACCGTCCATGGGAGAGATGTTCTGCTGTGCTGTGTGCACAGGAAAAGTCATGGGCAAGTGGTTTGACACCGAAGAAGAAGGAAACGTGCTATGCCACTGGCATAGAGCAACGGTCAGGGGAAAGTGGGTGAACATCGATGAAAAAGGAAACGTGCTATGCCACTAGCAAAACACACTGACACTTCAAAGTGGGGTAACACACAAGGGAGAAGGACTTTGCTATGAGGGAAGCACAGCAATGCTCAAACTCGCTTAGTCACGAGTTCGCTGTCTGACTGGTCAACACGTTGTACGTACTAGCACTCACGCAACACTCCACAGCAACAAACGCTGGCTGGATCCACACTGGGGATTGTTCTCGAGAGGAGGGTGGCGGTGAACTTTTATGATTCCAACCGTTGGCGGGTCGGGCAACGCGGCCAACTGCAAAATCAGGCCGTTGTAGTCCTAGCGTGTGCCTGCGGCCCACCGCTCGAGGGCGGAGCCATGCAGTTGGCTGGCGGTGGGCGCCTACCACCCTAGCAACCGACAGCCAAGGGCCTGTCAGCAGAACGTCATCCCAACGCGCGGTGCGAAACGCCCGCGTCGCGTGGTCTTAAGCAGCGTCCAAGCACACCGCGCTTCCAAAATGTGGCCGCTGCAGTGCCAGCGTGTGCCTGCGACCCACCGCTCGAGGGCGGAGCCATGCAATTGGCTGGCGGTGGGCGCCTACCACCCTGGCAACCGACGGCCAAGGGCCTGTCAGCAGAACGTCATCCCAACGCGCGGTACGAAACGCCCATGTCGCGTGGTCTTAAGCAGCGTCCAAGCAAACCGCGCTTCCAAAATGTGGCCGCTGCAGTGCCAGCGTGTGCCTGCGACCCACCGCTCGAGGGCGGAGCCATGCAGTTGGCTGGCGGTGGGCGCCTACCACCCTGGCAACCGATCGCAAAGCGGCCTGTCGAGAAAGCGCTGTCAAAGGCGCGATGGGGAACTCCCATTTCGCATGGTCTCAAACAGCAAACCATGCCAAACCACGCTGAACGGCCATGGCAAGGGTCACCATTGTGCAGCCCAGCCACCAAGTTGGCACATTTCCCTCGGAACTCACCCAGAGCCCGGACGACGTGATGCCGAACGAGGACGCATGCAGCAACCCGGTTACTGCGACCTCGTCGATTCTGCTGCTCGACACCGTTTGCTGCTCATGAGCTGCACCTGTGGTAGCTGACCTATGCCGGCCCACAGCCACGATTTACAACAAGACGCCTGGTGGCTTCACTCAGATTCTCAAATTCTACAACTACACTCTGACGTGGAGGTTTCTAGTCCTCCAGCTGCAACCGACAACCTGGCAGCAGAAAGGGGCGGCCAGCCTTTGCGCGTGCACCCGGACACTGTTGCGGGGTGCGTCCGGAACACAGCGACCGTCGGTGACAGTCGCTTTTTCAAAATTCACTATTTAATCAAATTTCACTTTTTTTTTCCATTTTCCACAATTAAGTCAATCTATTTCATCTTCAGTTCACAACCGTGGCTTGGAGCTCTAGGCAGCTATAGCGTGGAGAAGGCAGTGCAAACTTGTGGAAGGGCTGCTGCTTGTTGTGTTGGAGGCGTACCACAGAACCCCCAAAATGCAAATTGGTAGGTTATCGGACCTCCGTTAGCTATGCCGATGGCATAGCATGCACACCCTCATGATGCAAATTTTATTTCTTAATCTTTACTTTCTCA